AAAGGGAAAAATAAATTCACAATAATGAAACCAATCAATAAAAAAATATAAAATGCAATTTAGTTCAAGCAAAATTCACCTTACTCTATACGGCAAGAAACTGCAAGAAAATAAAATGAGAATAATCTCATTTTGTGGAACATAGATGTCGTACGAATTATTTATAAATTCGAATCTATCTTCGTAGCTTCAAAATCATGAATATAAATTTGAAGGGAAATGTGGGTGGGGTTTGATCCAAATTAGGTTCAAGAAAAATGACATTATTCAATATTCAAAATTTTCTCAAAGAAAAGTTAATGAGAACTAAGGGGATAAATTTCTCAAACAAAAATATATTATTCAAGATTTTTTTTCTAAGCCAAAATTTATTGAAGCAGCCATAAAGTTACAAAACTAGTTAAGACTAACAATTACAAAATCCTAAGTATCAATACAAATTTGAGTATCAAAGACCAACTAAATATAAATTAAAGAAGAGCACCCTACCAGCTCTCAAAGATAGGCAAGAGCAATCAAGATACATAAACAAAAATCCAAAATATGACCTTCTATGAGAAGCTCACTGCACTTGAGTTTTAGAGTAGAATATGAGAAACTAAATATGGAAAGCAAGAAAAAATATACTTAAGGATTCATAGGTAAATAGCAAGTAATGACCAACTAATGATAGAATCAGCCACACCATCATAAAACACCATTCATAGGAATTCAAGGTTTGGATTCTGTCAAGATTCTTATTCAATTGATAGGATAATTATTTGGTAATTAAATGCTTTTAAGGGTTAAATATATTTATTAGGTAAGAGTTTTAGTGACAAGAACTCTTAGAAATCAAATAATGAAACTCTATAAATATAGAGATCTTAATCTTTAGAATTATAAGAAAAATGTAATATCTATGTAATCTCAAATGGATTTATAGCAATGTAAGAAAGAGTTAGAAAAAATGCAGGATTACATGGAGTAAATGGTATTCCATGTGTTTATTCTTGATATTGTTCAATGTCTTAAATTGATTCCTTTTATTATGACAAAAGAGAGGAGATATATTTTATAGACACAAACTTGGTTTGATTCAAGTGCTTAAATGAATATATATTGTGTTATTTTGAATATTTGTGCATAAATTATATATCTTGTAAATGGATTGTGTTGGAATATTTAGTTGAAGAATATACTATGAAAATTGTGGACATCATGCCAAATGTTGTTAAACTAGTTTTATTTAAGGGAGAAAATTTTAAAATTTTTGACTCACTTCTTGAACAAATATTTAAGGGGGAGGTTTTATAAAAAGCAAACTGTTTCTTAAAGTTTTGTTATATAAAATATATATATATTTATCATTTTTATTTCTTCAAAAAATTTTTTTTTTAAAGTACTTATTTGAACTTAAATGCAGTTCATTTGTTGCTTAAAAAAATTATTTTGGAGGCAATGTAGTTTTGAAACTATTGGTTTTGAGAAATAAATTTTTTTTATGTCCTCCCTTTCATTTTTCCAGCAACTGCCACCGATTTGTGACTCCGAACTTCCTTTTTTCTCTTCTTCCTTTTCCTTTCTTATCTCCTTTTATTAAACAGACGCACCTTTTCCTCCTTTCTCCAGTCATTGGTCATCAAATCCCGCTGGCTCCTCTCCAGTCACCGGTCGACAGTCACCCTCTCTTATCTCCTCATTTCTTATTTCTTTTCTTCCCTTCCTTTCTCCTTCTTTCTTTCTCCTTCTTCTCTTTTCAAGAACCGAAACTGCAACCTTCTCTCAGTTGCCAATTGCCGAGCGCCACTTCCTCCTACCATCACCAATCGTCAGCTTCTTTGATCTTTTTTTTTTCTTTTTTTTCTTATAAATGCTACAATCTCCCTTAATAACACTTCTAAACCCAAAAATCCCCTATACCTAAAACTCATTCGTTTATTTTCATTTTTTTTTTAATTTTTTGCATTGGTAATGTTTATTGTGATGGTGATGTTGTTGTTGTGAAGTTGTGAATTGGGTTTGTGTTGTGATTAGGCCAATGTCTAGGTTTTTATTTTGTTGATTTTTGTTGTTATGTATGGTTGTTGATGATGGCAATTGGCAAGGCATGGTTGTGGATGATGTTAGGAAGGTAGAGACAGTGTGTTCATGGGACAGTTTTGGTGGAGGCTGATTGTAAATCAATGGTGATTTTGGGCTAAGTTGTTGGTGAGTGGCGTGAAGTGACAATGGTGAGTAAATTTTTTGCTAGGCAGTAGTGGTTTGAATAATAGTTTTAGAGAGTTTTCTGATAGAGTTTTGTCTCCCTTCGTCATGGTGGAATTTACTCTTACCTTTAGTGGTCAATTGGTTTGTAAAATTTTAGATTTCGAGGAAAAATGTGATACTCGAAAAAGTATAATATTCATAATCTTTTTTTATTTTTAATGTGTTCAGATTACTCGTTTGATTGAAAAAAATTCATATATATTAATTTTTGCATAATTACCATAATCTTTTTGATATATATAATAGTGACTTTTTATTTTATTTTATTAATAATAAATACTCTAACGACAAATGATGTTTTTAGCAGTAAAAGATAATAAATATTTTATTTAATTTTTTTATTTATAAAATATCATTAATTGAGGCATTTGGTACTTTTTGAATAATAGAAATTGCTAGGAAAAATTGTTAGAAAAAATGTTCAATAAATGTGTTTGCCACTTTTTTTATATCATGAAAAAATTTTAAAATATTCTTTTAATTTATTTATAAAAGGATCATTTAAGGTATTTTCTATACAGAAAAACCTTAAATGATCCTTTTATGTGCATATAAAATGATTATTTAAGAATTTTTTTTGTATAAAAATGCTTTAAATAATTTTTTTTACATTATGGACCAGTTAATAATTATAATTTAAAATATAATATGATTATTTAAGGTGTTTCTGTATAGAATATGCCTTAAATAATCATTTTATAAAAATATTAATCTTAAACCCTAAACCCTAAAATATAAAAAGATTATTTAAGATATTTTTTGTACAAAAATACTTTAAATAATTCATTTATAAAAACATAAAATGATTATTTAAGGCTTTTCTATACATAATATGTCTTAAATAATCTTTTTATAAAAATATTAATTATAAACCTTAAATTCAAAAATATAAAATAATTATTTAAGGCGTTTTCTGTACAGAAACACCTTAAATAATTCATTTGTAAAAATATACTGTACAAAAACTACCTTAAATAATAGTTTTATAAAAATATAAAAAGATTATTTAAGGCATTTAAATCCTAAACCCTAAAATATAAAAAGATTATTTATGTCGTTTTCTCTACAGAACGCTTTAAATAATTTATTTATAAACATATAAAATGACTATTTATAAAAAAATTATATAAAGCATTTTCTATACAGAAACATCTTAGATAATCATCCATTTGTAAAAACAAAAAAGATTATTTAAGGTGTTTTTTCATGCTAAACACCTTAATTGCAATATAAAAAAATATTTTTTTAATACAAAAACTTACAACTGAATTTTAGTCACTTCTAGATATGCTTTTTAAAACGATAATGGTTATTTCATAATATTTTATTTATGTCAAATTTAAAATAAGATAACTTTTTTTCTTGGAATCTTAGAATACCATAAAGAGAGGTGGGTTTTTTATTCTAAAACTTTTGATACTGTTGAAAATCTATCACTTTTCCCTTTAATCAAATTACTCTGAACCAAACGTAAAAATCAAATATCCACCATTAAGATTTAAAAAAAACATTTATAGATTCTCTCAAACTAAATACCACCTTGTAGAACAATTTGGGATCCTAAGATAATAAGACCAAGGGTAGCTATTGGGGATAAAAGGAGTTTAGCAAATCATGGACACGAGGAAGGTAGGGTGGTTAGTAGGAGATGGATGATTGGTATGGTGGCCAGTAGGGGAATAGTAAGGTGGTTGGCAGATTGGTGCCATGCACAACACCAATATCACGGTTTTCATTTTTTTTTTATTTTATTGAATTTTTAATTTTACCCTTTTTTATTTTAATTTTAATAATTTCCTTTAAATTTAAAAAAATAAAAATGGATTTTGAATTTGGGCCCTTAAAACCCAAACATAATAATCTTGGACTTTCAAACTGAACAAGTTAAACTCATTCGAATTAGACTCTAATTAAACTAGACAGGACCAAATAAAACTTGAACAAACAATATCAACTTAATCGAGACCTTCAAATGGATCCAAGGCATGTACAAAAAAAAAAAAAAATCAAATCTCATCTAAATCATCATGAAGCAGCTTTTATGTAATTCATATAAAATTAAGTGTTTATAATAGGATGATTCAATTCTTTATAAATGGAGTAGATTATTTTTAATTTATGAAATTGAACTTATATATTTTATTATATTTTATTCATATTCTTAGGTACAAAAAATGCTATTATGTAATTAAATAACACAAAACTTAAAATTGTAATTTTTTTTATTCTTCTCTCTTTTTTAAAAACTTTGTAACCAATCTATCAATAAATTTCTGTTTCCCAATTTCACATTTAGCCTTCCACTAAATGACAAAAGGACTGAGACTATTTAGTTATAAATGTTGGAGAAGACATGCAAATATGTATAAGTTATGTTTGGTATACAAGATTATGATAGGATAAGATAAGATAATATTATAAATAGGATTAAATTAAATAATGTCATCCCATTTTGTGTTTGATGTATGCAAATATTAAGATAGGATAATTTTTTTATCAAAATTATCTTTTCTTAAAATTTATACAATTTAAATTATTAATATAATTTTTAAGAATATAATTGGATATATAAGTTTAATCCTACGGATTAAAAATAATTTTTTCCATTTGGAGAAGATTGAATAATCCTATGCCAAGAGGATATTAATCCTCCTTTCAATCCTTATCTCTCTTCCTAGATATAAATCAAATATGATATAAGATAATTATCATCATATCCTATCAATAATTCTATTTATCAAACATAATCATAGAAGACTATTTAGTTATAAATATTGGAGAAGACACTCAAGAATGTATACAAGATACTTGGAACAACCCTCCAAGTATAGGGAATTTTTTATTAAAAAAAATATTATTGAAGTTTGATCAAAATAACATTTGAAATATTGTTTAGCCTTGTAGATAGAATTATTTTTTGATGAAAATTCGATACCATCTTCATCTTTGAACTACTGCAGGGTTGCTTCATTTTTGCCACTATCTGTGGCCACTATTTCACTGCAAAAAAAATGACAATAATGTAAGGAAAATTGCATCAATTAGTTATGAATTGAAAAGAACAAAAAAAAAAAATGGAAACAAGTATCTCTTTACCGAAGCAGCCGAGTTAATTGAGCAGCTTTGGCAAAATCGCCTTGCTTTCTTGCCTTCAGGATATTGAACATCAGACAAAGACGGATTTGAGTGTTGGCATTTTGTCGGATAATCTGGTCGGTTTCCTTCCGGAGCTTCTCGCATTCTTCTTCCACTGCTTTGAATTTTGCTATAACTTGCTTTTGCGCTTCCTTAATGCCTTGCTGCTCTTTCCTGATCTTTTTCATCTCTACTTTCACCCTTTTAAATCTCGTTGCCATAGATTTTGCCATACTCTTTCTGTTCCAACATAATTAAACACAATAAGAAACAACGCTAGTAAAAATTTGCAACAGACTTTATTCCAAATTAATACTTATATATAATAATTATAACAATAACAGTCCTAATAATAAGTAGTTTACAAAATGTAGAGATAAAAGCAAGGATCAAGCTACTGCATGCCTAGGGACATATTAATAACTAAGTTTCAACTTAGAGCTTAATTAATTCAGTTGATTTATATATTTATCTTTAAAAAAGCAACATCTAATAAGTTTAAAATTTAAACATTCTCCTAGGTTATGAATTTTTTTGTACCATATCAAATATATTATATACCACTTTTTTTTTTTTAAAAGGAAATTTTATATATTCTAAAGATAATAGGAGGAAAATCTATTTTAGCGAAGAGGGTAAAATTTTGAAAATTTTTTAAGTTTATTTTGTTTATGTAACATTAATTTGATTAATGTTTAAATTCACAATCTTGTTAAAATATTTTAAATTCATTCATTTTGTTGATTGTTATTGAAATATGAAGAAATTTACTATCTTACCATCATGTGAAAGTCTATATAGATGTTCATGTAAAAAAAAAAAAAAAAGAGACAAGTCCGTTTCATTTTTCAATTTGGATTTATGAATGTTCACCCGACACTAATGTTGCATATTCAATCAAACATATCTTCATGTACATTATAAAGTTCAATCTTGCATAATATAAATAAAACAAAATATTACACAAAAATCATAAATAAAATACAATTTACTCAAGGTAAAACACCACAAAAATGTCATACTTTTCTTCTACAAATAAAATGTTGCATTTTGGTTACTAGGAAACCTTTGCATGCATATATAATATCAAACCAAAAAAGAAAAATGACATAGAAAAATTAAATATATGATTATTATGAAAGAATGGGTTAGTGTTACCTGCTTTTTTCTCCTGCAAGAATGACTTCACGTTGTTAATTGCAAAGGACGCCAAACATATCACGCAGAGGGCCTTGAATATTTATAGATGGTGGACCTTAAGTCTTAATTAATATTTTAATCCGCTTTCGTAACCGCGTTGCAAACGGCGCCGCCCATACGCGTAGAAGCAATGCCTATCGCGCGTTTGCTCGATCATTCCAAAGCCAAGTCATTTTGAAAGCTCTGCTATTTCTTTATTCTTACTTTCTTTTTAAATGTTTTTTAACTCTTTTGTTCAAATACTGTTCAGTTATCAATGAAAGTCAAAAGTGGATAGAATTTTCTTTGAAATTAAAAAACGTTTCCTTAATAATACTCCCGTTTCCTTATGTATATTTCTATTGATTTTTTGAATCAAACAAATTTAATTTTATTATTTAATAAAATTATAAAATTAAAAATAAGATTTAAATATTAAATTTCAAATCTTTTAAAATTTTAATTTAATATAATATTTTCAAAAATAATGATTAAAACTGAGTTTATTTGAAAAAAAAAAGTAGCATACAATGTGGACTGCAGGTAATAACTATGTTTGACCCAAAAAACTTGGATATGCGCTCGGAAAAATAAAAATCAAGAACAAAAATCTGTTGCAAGAAATCCCAAATTTCTTCGAATTTACAGATATAATAAAAAATATCCTGACTTTAATTCTTTTTTAAATGTAAACTTCCAGATACTTGCGTTTTAATTTCCAACTACTTGTCTATTTTTTTTCTTTTTATTTCTTCTTTTCCCACTGAATTTACAGAACTTTTACTAAGGATAAGATGAGTTAAAATCTCCGTACAATTTCCACAAAATTAAAATATTTAATGACGAAATTAAACAAAATAGTGATAATAAACAAAGATTACAAGAATTGAATTGGTTGACAAAACTGGGATTCTTTCATAGCTGCGTTGTTGATCGAAATCTGGGCATCCAGTGGATTGCCCATTGCCGGTGAGAATCGGGCTCTCCGACTTTTAGTTACTCGATCTGGTGGCAATTGGCAGCCTAAGAGGAGAAGAGAAAGAAGAAACTCACATAAGAAACAGAGCAAAAACTATATAGAGAAGTGACATAGGATGTGAGAAAACGAACGGAAAGAGGGAAGCTAGAAGAACAAAAAAAAAAAAAAAAACGGAGAGACAAATTAGACCGCATAAAAACGCCGATAAAGAAGAAAATGATGAAAAAATTTTATAATCCAAGGACTTGTATTTTATAAAGAGGCTCAAAATTTATTTATACTGAATAAAATATTATAAATATATATAATAAATAAAAATAGTGATTAAATTAGTTTGTTTAATAAGCTAAATTAATATATAATATTTTTTAAATTAATATTGAATCAATCTAAAATATTATTAAAATAATATGATTGAAATAAATTTAAAATGTCATTAGAATATCATTAACACTCAAATAAATTCAAAATAGTAATGTAGAAACCAACTTGAATTTTGAAACTTGAATAAAAAATTGGCAAGATGAATGTAATTTGATTAAGATTTCTGCTTTTTGATTAGTACTATAATAAAAACAAGTTGAAGAGTTTGAGCGTACATATGTGACAAATAAAATGGCAATAAATTTCAATATATTTAGTGTACTCATGAAAAATATAATTGTGAGTTAATTTGAATGGTATTTTGATTATCCAAAAATATAAAAATACATGAGTGATGAAAAACACCCATATCTTAAAGTAATCATTGTAACCATAAAAGTTTTAACGTGACATTTGTAAGAGCTTGATACTTGGCTTTAGTCACAGAGTGGGACATTATAGTTTGTTTCTTATTTCAACAAGAAATAAGAGAAATACCAAAAAAGAAACAATAGCTTATGGTGGTAGCTTGCCCAATCAACATAACAATATAAGTCCAAAGAAGAACTAAAGAAAAAGTTAGAACCATGAAATATAGTACACTTGACATATCGCAGGATTTAAAAAATAATAGTAAAATGAGTAGATTGAGGAGTAAACAAAAATTGACTAACCAAATGAACAGTGTAGGCAATGTTTGGATAAGTAACTATTAAGTATATGAGACTATCCACCAGAGTTCGATACAAAGAAAGGTCTAAAAGTGATGTATCATAAAAAAGAGAAAGCTTAATATTTTGTTCAAGTAGTGATGATGCTATTTTGCTATCAATAAATTTGTTTAAGCAATAAGTTTAAAAGCATACTTTGTCTGAGATAAATGTAGGCTGGTAGAATCACTAATGACTTCAAAGCCTAAAAAATAACTCAAATAACTAAAATATTTCATCTTAAACTGATAATAAAGAAAAGTCTTTGGATCTCAAATCATGATTACTAAATGTATAGTGCAAATGTGGTATTAAACTTCGACAACCAAGCTCTGAAGGTTCCCTTAAAACTATATAAGGCACATTAAAGATGATAACCATGTTGGGAGGTATAGATGAACCAAGAGATGGCTTCATATAGACTTTTTTGACAAGATCACCATTTAAGAAGGCATTTTAACATCCATTTGATAGGTTGGCCACTTTCTAGTTGTAAAAATAGCTAATAGTGAACAAACAGATATAAAACGTGCAACTGAGGCAAAAGTCTCTTCATAGTCAATGCCATATTCTTGTCTAAATCCTTGAGCAATAAGACGAGCTTTGTAATATTTCACAGACCCATTAGATCGAGTCTTGATCTTGTATACCCACTCATAATCAATCATTGAATTATCAAAAAATCATTCAACGATGTCCCAAATATGAGTTTTCTCAAGAGTTTAAAAACTCTTCTGTGATTGGTTGTTACCACGTAGGATTAGAGATAGCTTCACAAAAATTGTGAGGTTCATGTAACGTGGCTAAAGTATAGTAATGGTGAAAACACGAAGTTAAGTGTTGGGTTCCTTTACCTGGGTGAAACGACGAAGTAGAGGCAATATGTATAGTGAAAGAATAATTGTATCAATAAGAGCCTCAGTTAGATCAGATATAATAGAAGTAGAAAAAGATATATCACTGTTTGAGTTAAAAATACCTATAATAGTCTTCTTATTTGATAAAAAGTCAAAATATGAATCTATAAAAATAAATGGAGAAAAACATAGTGAATGTAATGAGAACACATTAATGAACTTTTTAAGTTCCCAAAAAACTACATGTCATAAGAGGTGAAAATGTTTAGACATTGGATCATAACACTTATACCCTTTGTATTCTATATCATAATCCAAAAAACAACACAATTTAGCTTTAGGTTCAAGTTTTTTCCTTTTATGAGTAGGGAGTAGAACAAAGCAAGCACATTTAAAGACTTTGAAAGAATGAAAATTAGGTACCTTATTTTATAAACACTTATAAGGAAACCATGTGTCTAATATTGGTGTAAGAACACGATTAATAGTGCAAACAATAGTGAGAGCAGGTTTACTCCAAAAATGTTCAAGAATAAAGAGGAAATGAGAATGGTATGGACTGTATCAAGTATATGACGATGTTTTCTTTTAGCTCGACCATTTTGTTTTGGAGTATATGGGCAAAACCTATAAAAAAAATAGTCTCATGATCTTTTAACGAGTTACAAAACTCAATTTCTATATATTCAGTACCATTGTTAGACTTAAAAATTTTTATTTTTCTAAAAAATTGAGTTTGTATAATGTTATTGAATTCACAAAAAAATGAAAAAAGTTCAATTCTTTATTTGAATAAATATATTCAAGTATAATGAGAGAAATCATCAATAAATATAACAAAGTAATATGAACTTCCTAAGGTTGGTGTGGAAGCTGGATCCTAAATATCATAATAGATTAAATTAAAAGGAGCAAAAGAGGTAAAATCACTTTTATTAAATGGTAAAGCATTTTGTTTTCCAAGTTGACAAGACAAACAATCCAAAATATTATAAGAAACATTGCCTAAGAAACTAGTAAAAGCAAATGACTTTATTCGAGATATAGATGCATGTCCTAACCTAGAATCCAATAAATCTAAAAAAACCAAAAAATTAGTTGTTTGAGATATAGTTGTAGTAATCAAATGTTATGAAATTTTTAAAGTTTCTAACTCAAACAATGTTCCAATCTTACGCATTGTCCCAAATTTCTAACTTGTTTGAGGATCTTACACAATACAGACATATCATCGTGAAAAATGCAAATCATGACTAAGGTGACAAAGTTGGCCAACAAAAAGTAAATTTAAGGCAAGATTAGGGACAATATAAGTGTTTGATATACAATGTTTTGAAGTTTCAATGTTACTAATGTGGCTAGCTGTTAAAATAGATCCAGTTACTATTTTAATGGTTGGACCACTAGGTAAATGTATCATATTTTTTAACAAAGAAATATCAGCAATCATATGGTTTCCACAAGCAATATCAAACAACCAAATAGTACCTGATGTGGCAGCAGACATGGCAAAAACCTGAGATTGGGATAATACTTAATTAAACAAGATTTGAAGATTAGCAGTGGAGATTGTAATGATCTCAAAAGAAGACTTATAAGTATATGGTTTAGTGGTCCCTGCAACAGTCTTTTTAGTATGAGAATCATGAATTTGAGTACTGTTATGATTATATATAGCTTTACATTTTTGAACAAGATGATTAGTCATCCCACATCATTAACAAAGCTTATAAAAAGTAGAGCTAGTATTTTGCTTATGAGCAGTAGCTACAATAGTAACACTATGAGTTTGACTAATACCTAACCTAGTTTCATCATATATCAATTCCATATGGGTGTTATCCATAATTTGGTAAGGTGTGTTAGCATAAAAGTGAAGACCTAGAATTATCAAATTCATCTCAAAGTGTCATTAGAAATTGAATAAGACGAATTTAATTACGCTAAGTATTAACGTTATTAGCATCACTTTCATCTTAGTATTCTGGCTCAGAATTCTCAAGCATTTCCTATAAATGTTGCATTTTGGAATGAAAATCATTTATTGATTGACTTGGTTCTTAACGAAAGCAAGATAAAGTGATCAAAATATGATATTAATGAGCAATGATAGTAGAGCTATACCATATGACAAGAAAATCTAAAGCATTTTTAGCAAGCTCAAAATGCATATTGATAGAAAAGGAGTGGTTTTAGTGAACCACGTAGGAATTTGATGATTCTTACTTTCCCATTCTTCCAACAAATTTGCAAAATTTTCAACATATTCATTTTTTTCTTTTTTAGTTTTTTGTATTCTCCGTAAGCCATAATTTCATTCCTTTTAGAAAACTACGCATAGTCATAGCCCATCGATTGTAGTTATTTTCATCAACAATAATTGAAATTGGCTTCACATTTTCTCGTTGAATACCTACCGTTAAGCTTTTGACG